ATCGTATATGTACATATAAATATACAGATATATAAAATAGAGAAACATGTCTAGAATTAAAGTTACTGTAGTGGTCTATATACTATATAGCAAAATGTTGCCCTAATATTAGCTATTGCAATAGGAGAAAATAACCCAACTTATTTTGGAAACTGTTGCCCTTTGAACTTTTGCTTGATGTTCTTGAAAAAAAAGTCATCAGCATGATCCTGGCTGGAGGGTCTCTGAAGTCATCTAGCCCGACACCTTACTCCCACACAGTAAGTCTTAAAGCCAGGCCTGGCAACACAAACGTCATGGGTGCCAAGATCTCCCTCCAGAGTGTAGTTAAAAATGTAAAATTAACAAAACATTTAAAAAAGAGTAAAATATTGTAAAAATAGCTAAAATGACATGTTTCACGTCTCCCGTAAGATCTCCCAAATTTTCAGGGGAGATTTGGGGATCTTGCAAAATTTCAGCCAATTAGTATGTATGTTTGTGTGAATGTATTTGGCCCCTTGACCATGCCTTAAGGCAGTTCATGTGGGGAATTCTGTCCTGTGGGCTGGATCCAGATTTCAGGCTTCTCTGTCCAGGAAGGTATACCTCCCCTCTCCTCCTTTTTCCACCTTGTGACGCAAAATGAGACTGGTCTCCCATCATCATACTTCTTGAAGCCTCTCTGTCTAGTAAGAAAGTATATCCTTCACAGTGAGCTTACAGGGGAAAACCAGAACATATTAGGGACCCTGTCACTTGTTGAACAAGAGATTTTTTTCCCCCATAGTTGCGTCTTCCCAGCTCTGAAATGCTCTTCTAGATTTGAGTTATCTGGCATTAAGCAGACAAAAGTTTTAAAAATATTTTTATTCCTACTCTTGCTACTATTCTGCATTATCTTTTATACTGCTGATTTTTTAAAAAATGGTGGCTCATAAACCTCTTTACAAACAGGGGCTTGCCTGATTTTTTTTTTTTTTTTGCTTCCAGAATAAAATGTGAAAATTAAAATCTTGTTCATAAATAGATTTCATATTCATGATTGGCATTTGGATGGATGGTGTTCTTTTGCAAAACAAAGAAAATTGAGAGGATGCTACCAGAGATGTGCTAATTTTAGAGTTTTGGATTCACTACAAAAATCACTCCCTACACACACACACATTTGTCAGTATTGTTTCACATACTTCAAAATGTAGCAAATCAGCCTTGCTACACTTGAGGATCCTCCTGCTCATTTTGCTAAGTGGGGTCTTGACCTGCCAGTAGTACCAGTCTAGTACAGCTCAGGGAATATGGCTCATATCTGTAATTTCTTCAGAAGGTGAACACTGTATATGGAACACTACAGAGAAGTGTTCCAGAAGTCCAGGAGATAGAGCAGGGTAAGGCAAGCAGTAGATCTCAGCCTAATTACAAAATCACTCTGCAGAAGAAAGAGATGGGCAACCCTGTCTATTTTTGCTGGTGGGGCGGGAGCTCCAAAAGGCTTATCCCTCAGGGAATGCAAGATTGCCTACTGCCAGTCTAAAGTATATGTCACATAACAGCCCTTTAGGAACAATTACAGATGCAATTTGGAAGAATGCATTGAAAAAGCTCTCCCATTCATCCAAAAGACCAGATTTTTTTCTTTTTTTAAGGATAGTATAACATTATAAGATCTGAAATCTATGGTAAAGAATGTTCAGTATTATATTCTGGTAGCAGCCTGTCAACTTTTTGTTTCTTTTCTTTTTATACAACCCTTGGGATTTTTCCAAGGCAGCTAATATTCCCCTTTTGTGCAACAATGATCAGTTTTGGCAACAGAAGAATCTGCACTCAACCTGTAACTTTTGAAGCCAGGATGCCTGGGGTTCAACCTGTCCAGAACCCCATGATCTCATCACATGGGAAAAGGACAGTTAAGAAAACATATCTGAACATGATCTAGAGACGTACATCCGTTTTCATTCCTTCATGCTCACTTTTCAGCACTATGCCTTCTTTTATTAATACAACAACAAACTTTCATTTAGGAAAGATAGGAAATTAATCACGCAGAATCCTAATCCTCAGGTCCATCCCAATTTACCCCATCATGCAATTACAGTGACCATAAACATTTCTAAAGTGTTTCCAAAATCCATCTCTCTGAGATAGGTCAGTATCCTTATCTCTAGTGGAGATCAGGAAGCTCAGATTGACTGTTGATGGCTTTTCAAGCTACCGTCTAAGTTCATGGCCATGTTCTAATTAAACAGTCTTTCTGTGTTGAGTATTGATGCCTTTGAACTTTGGTGCTGGACGAAATTCCTGAGAACACTGTGGACAGGTAAGAAAACAAATGGATTATCTAACAAATCAATCCAGAGTTGTTCTCACTTGAGGCACAAATGACCAGGCTCAAATTATCCTACTTCAGACACATTATGTGAAGACCTAGCTCTCTAGAGAAGGCTCTAATGCTGGAAAAGGTAGAAGAGAAGAGGATGACCAGCAGCAAGGTGGATAGACTCAGCTACAGTGGTGATGAGTACACTGTTAGAAGACCTGAAAGAGCAGGCTAGGGACAGATCATCATGGAGAAAATCTATTTATGTGGTTGCTAAGAGTTGACGCTGACCTCTAATCTTTGTTGATAGCTAATGGAGAAGCTTACTCTTTAAATTTTAATACTGTATGCCTTAAAATTTTTGTTTAAGGTACCACAAAGCTCTTTCCTGTTTAAACCCTTTCATTTTATCCAGGAGAATGTAAAACTGAGTCAGCCATTTGTTGACTGAAGACTGTGTTAAGAATTTTAAGCTATTTCTGAAAGCAAGTCCCAGCCAGACAATTCTTGAGTTGCTAGTCCAAGTGTTTCTTCCATTAGGATTAAGGATAAGTGAAAAGGAACTTGTTATAAAGAGTGGGTGGGAGGAGGTATTTGCCAATCTATCAGTGTTTCCTTGGAATTCCATTGTAAGTACTCAGAAGATACCATGCAAATTACAGGCTAATCTTCCTAGCTTCTAAACCAAATTCTTCATGCATTAGAATACAGTATTTCTATTAATGTTGATACGAAAATAAGCATGCTTCAAAATTATCTCATATATACCAACATGTTTCAGCATTTTTTAATTTAAAGAGACAGAAGTCATATCATTTAGCAAAGCATGAACTGTTTTAACACAGTAATGTATCAATTATCATACAGATTTCCCTGGAAGTTTTGCTGAAGGCAGTGGGACTTTGCCTAATTAAAAATACATAGCATTTCTCCGTAATACTTTATATACCCACATATGAATACCAATTTCATACCAAGTATTTATCCTTGTCATATTTTTAAAACTATGCTATATTGCATACTGTAAGTAGCCATAATAAAACAGAATTCTATTATTATTAGGAAAACGGATCAATTTAAAGAAGGGTTGAATTTCCATAATTCACTACTACTGGGAATTAAGAGGAGGGGGGAAACCTTTTCCACATAACAGCAGCTGTTTATATATTCCTTTCCCAGGACTCTGTTCCAGGCATCTCATGGCCTATCATCTGCAAAAGCTTATGTGATAATAAATGTTAACCTTTATGACAAAGTCCTGTAATATATCTTAAAGGTAAACCTAACTTTCTAGATTTTTCTTTGTAATAATGAAAAATCAATGAAATGGTAGATCAGTAGAGGAACAGAGGCAGAAATAACACAAAAATGAGTAACAGTAGTCTTCTTTGAGTCAAGCTGGTTTCTGTTGACTTTGTGGATCTGTCCTTGAAGTTTTATTGTCACTGCCTTCATCCAGTTGTTTCCCCCTTTTCCAGTCTAGCCCACAAGCCCTGATATTTCTTTGTGGTCTCCTGTCCAAGTACTAACCAAGTTCTAACCTGTTGTATTTATTTATTTATTTGGCAAATTTATATAGCTGCCCATCTTATGTATGTGACAAAAGTTAAAAATAACAGTACAATAAATAATAATCATAACAAAATATTATTTATATAGGAAATTTGTTTGCAATGTATTTTAATTCACATTTATTCTATTTTAACTAATATTTATTCTTTTTTACTGTAAACCTGAATGTTTTTAGTATTTATGTACAGGGTTTATTGTTTAGATTTGATTTTAATGGATTATTTATTTAACTATTTATGGGGGGATTTTTAATTGTTGATGGGATTTCT